TAAGTGTCACTATCACACACATCACACATACATGACCAAATGTATTTCCCTTAGGAACCCTTTTTCATGAAATCATAACGCTGAAGCATGCCTTGTCATATCAACATCACTCATCAATCATAATTGTCATTCCATCACGAAGTATGAAGTGCTTATCCTCCATGCCTAAGTTACCCAAATACTTTCATTGAGTCAACAGTTGAGATAGCCTAGGATGGATTAATCCTTACACCTTGAGAGATAGTATCAAACAACATTTGGCTAAGCTCATTCAACATGCCTCTTCAAATTTTTGATTTTTTTTTCGCGTCTTTCTTTTTCAGGAGAAAGTCGGTACCCTCCACAAAAATGACGGAAATTTTTTTTTGCTTTTTTGCATTTTCGAGTCGCATAATCAACACTATGCACACACGAGTCATGAGTCACACGTGTCATTTCACTTCGAGTCGAGTCAACCTCGAGTCAGTCGATCACATCGAGTCAAGTTTATCTTGAGTCCTGTCAAGTTATTGGGTCAAGCAACATTAAATCTTAGGTCAACCCTAAGATAATTAAAGAGATTAAAAAAGTTCTATAGTTAAAAATAAATACAGGTGCAGCAGAATAGGGAAGACCCTATCACAGCGTTCGACGACATAGTCTATTATTGGCGCTAGAGATATTTCTGAAGCGATAGAGCTCGAAGCCTCTCAGGAAAGGTGATTTCAACTTCATACAGTGATTTCGGGTTCCTTGGTACGCCAGTTAGCCCCTATAAGAAATTTGTCATGATTAAGTAGTCAGTTTGATTACAATCACAATAAGTGGTCGACCTGATGAAAGATCGTCTCACTTAGCTTAAAGCGCCTAATCACGGAGACACCGACATACTGGTTTTAGGGGAAACAAAGTTCAGGCGAGCTTTAGAGATCGACAAACATTGGTCTTCGGAAATTTTTCTTCAGAATATTATCGCAAAAAACGCTCAAGTACCAAAGCTCTATTGTCCAGAGACGCGTGGGCATATCATCAAAGCTCTTTTGTTCAGAGACGCGTGGACATTTCTTTTAAGCTCTTTTGCTCCAGAGACGCGTGGGCATATCATTCAAGCTCTATTGTTCAGAGACGTGTGGACATATCATCAAAGCTCTTTTGTTCAGAGACGCGTGAACATTTCCTACAAGCTTTTTTGCTCAGAGACGCGTGGGCATCCTATTATCAAGCTCTTTGTTCAGAGACGTGTGGACACATCATTCAGAAGATCATATAAAAAAGAAGCTCTTTATTTAGAGGAGCGTGAACATATCCTAAAAAAAGAAAAGAAGCTCTTTGTTCAGAGGCGCGTGAACATATAAAAAAGAAGCTCTTTGTTCAGAGACGAGTGAACATCGAAACAGCAAGGTGGCCTTACCTAGATTGTGGAGAGTTGTAACAAACAACTGAGGATTGTTTCAAGAGAAGCAATCTTTGATAGTATTCCCTTGGACATGGAATATTATCAATGCGGAGGAGGTTCGTTTCAGGCGGAGCAATCTTCTAATTAGGAAGTAGTTACTGGCGTAGCGGTTTTCAAGCGGGATGGCATTCTCTAGCTTGCAGGAGGTCATCAAAACAATCGGTTACTTATAGAGACGTGTGCTCGACGGTGCAAGATACGCGTTTCTTAACTCTTTTATCTGTATAACTAACGCTAGTTTTTCAGGTATCGGTGTTGCAAGAGTTATTTAGGATCGCATAACGTTCTGAATCATTCTCCGTCCCTATCGATACTTTGACTTTTGTTTTTCGAAACTCGCGTTTCTCCAAACTCAGTCAAAGTGGGGGCTTCTGTAGACACCCAAATGTGTCTCCTCAGAAACCAAACCTATTGATGAGCACCTTTCACGTCGAATCATAATCGAATGAAGAGAAAGTGTGGAAAGTTCAGTGTTGCGGATAGTTTTAATTCTTTTCTCTTCTCTTTGTTTTTGAAAAATTATTTTAATAAAATAGCCAATCTAGTTTGGTTGGTCCATGATATGGGTCCAATAGTAGTGTAGTTGGATGGGGCTTGACAAGAGCTTTCCAACGATATATTATAAGCCCAATTCCGATGAATATTGAGGAAGTTATAGCCTATTTACTAAACTGGGCCCGTTTTGAGCCTTATGTGCGGCCCAATGATCTAGAGGAGGGCCTAATATGATTTATCATTTCTAATGAAATTAGGAATGGTTTTAGTCTTCTAGATTTTTCTAGAAGGTTCTTTTCATTCCTAATTCAATTAGCATTGATAAATTGACTTTTGTTGACTTTTCAGAGTTTTAATTAAAATCAAAAAGCATTTTCGTGGAAAAGATACGACTTTATCATCCAGTACGGCAAACTTATCTGATTTTCAAAAACGCGTCAAAATCAGGCTTGACGCCTGACTCAAGGCATTGGCGCCTAGCGCAAGCCATTGGCGCCTGGTGCTAGCCATTGGCGCCTGGTGCTAGTCATTGGCGCCTGGCGCCAATTAGCTGGTGCTGGCGCCGACTCTGTTTTAAGTGAGCCAGCTCTGTCTTGCGTGTGCCAAGTGCTCTGTTTTGATATTTTATCTTTTTGGCTCATTTGTCTATAAATAACGTATTAAAAACTCCGTTTTCATTCACCAATTTTCATCAATTCTCATCAATAATCACTAACTCTCATCAAGAATTTCTTGATTCTTTCTCCCTCTTTTCTAGCCTAGCCTTTTACAAACACAATTCCTTATACATTAGCACTAGACACACCTAGCCAAATTCGAAGTTGCCTTCGCCCTAGACGTGAAAGGTTTTTATTTCTAAGGGTTTGGTCCCAAATCTCTCTTTCAATTATTATTTAATTTAATTGTTTTATTATTATCCTTGAAGTTACTAACGTGTGTATTTTGTTATTAGAAAGAGGTACGAGGCATCAAAGTAAGTACTTTAATTGATTTATTGATGTTATGATGTAGAAATCATGTTTATATTGTTATTATGATATTCCTAGTATCATGTCTAGGGTAATTTTAATATTAATTATGATTCATGCGATGCTTCCTATGTTCTTCCTAATATCTATGATTGTTAGTATCGTGTTAGGGTTAAAGCTTTGATTTTTATTGATTAGTGACATGCTAGGATTTGTTATTAATCTTGTTAGTATCATGCCTAGGATCTTGCTATTTTTATCATGCTTTAATATTAACATGAACATGATTATGGTTATAATTGTTATGATTTATGTTGATTATGAATATTATTATTATAATTTTATGATGATGATTTTATGATGATTATTTTACTTATGACGATTATTATTATGATTATTATTTTTATGATTATTATTATCTTGATTATGATTATAATTTTATTGTCATGATATTTATTATTATTATGATGCTTATTTATTGTTATTGCTTGATCACGCCTTTTTATACATGTTTAAAGGGAATTAGTACTTGTAATCACAATTAATAAGATATTTAATAATCTTGTTTAGGGTTCATTGTGATTATAATTCAAGTGATCGCCAGTAATAGGTTTATTTGTGCATTAATATTCAACCAATGTAGATAAACAGGTTTAGGGTTAAACCTATTGATTGTATGTTAATTAGAAAGCGCACATGAATACGATCAGAATAAAGTAGAGGCCTATTATTAGGGAAGGTTCAATATCTTTTAGGTTGGATTTGTACCTTCATCCCCGAACCCTTATTTGGTTCTAGACCTTATGGAGTTTACGATCTCTTGGATCGTTAAGGGGTGTAACCTTCATCCTGTGAACGGTTTACAAGTTCCTAAAACTTGTTGGCGACTCTTGTGCTCTATCTTCTTCCCTTTTGGACGCCACCGTACTTTAGTGTATGATCACAGTGGGGTTCAAGCATGGGGTTAACGCTTGAAATCTATTCCCTACACTAGTTTAGAAAGAGAGGGAGAGGGAGTAATCAAGAAAATCTTGATGAGAGTTGGTGAATGAAAACGGGGTTTTTAGGAAGCTATTTATAGAGAAAATCAGCCAAAAAGATAAAACATCAAAAACAGAGTTCTGACGCGCAAAACCAGGATTAGCGCCAAACGCTGACGTTAGCGCAAGACACTAAGGCTAGCGTCAGGCGCCAAGCGTAGCGTCAGGCGCTAGAGCTGGCGTTTGGCGCTGACTAAGAAATCGACGCGTTTTCTTAAAATCAAATAGAAATTGACGTACAGGAGGATAAAATCGTATTTACCTCAAAAACGTTCTTTTATTCTGATTAAAACTCTAAAAAGTAAAAAAAAGTTAATTTATCAATGCTAATTGAATTAGGAATGAAAAGAACCTTCTAGAAGAATCTAGAAGACTAAAACCATTCCTAATTGCATTAGGAATGACAAATCCATATTAGGCCCTCCTCTAGATCATTGGGCCGCATATAAGGCTCAAACCAGGCCCAATTCAGTAATTTGGCCATAACTTCCTCAATATTCATCGGAATTGGGCTTATAATATATCGTTGGAAAACTCTTTTCAAGCCCCATCCAACTACACTTCTATTGGACCCATATCATGGACCAACCAAACTGGATTGGCTGTTTTTTTAAAATAGGTTTTCAAAAACAGAGAGAAGAGAAAAGAAATTAAAACTATCCGCAACACTAGACTTTCCACACTTTCACTTCATTCGATTATGATTCGACGCGAAAGGTACTCATCACTAGGTTTGGTTTTAGGGAGACACAAATGGGTGTCTACAATATGAGAGGTATTAAATTTGTCTTTATCACACTCATTAAGATTTCATTGAATTTTGCAACGTATCCAATGTTGACCACCATCATTAATACTCTTTCTCTGGTTATGTGGAAGGGGGTTTGAGGACCACATTGTTCTAATGTAACCCAGTATTCGCAAAGAAGATGTGTGGATTACAGATGAAGCTGAATTCCTCGAGTGGTTTAGGTTGAAAGTGAGTGTGTTACGCATTTGACATAAACACGTTTTCTTACTTTGTTGCTATAACTTCACGACATATATCAATTTAATATAATTATGCCATATGATCAGGTGATTCAAGATAAGCCAAATGATGAAATAATGTTTGCTTTGGCAATGGGCCCATCTAAGAGAGTGCGTACTTGGAGCCAATTCTATGTGAACGGATACAAACTCCAAACTTTTGGCCATGGAAAACAGAAGTTAACCATGAATCATGGAGTAAGCGTATCCAATGAAGATGGTGGAGATTATTTTGGTATTTTATAGGATATCATCGAGTTGGATTTCACTGGTGCCCTACGGACTTATAAGACTATTCTCTTCAAGTGCAGTTGGATGGATTCCACTAGGGGTATGAACATTGAACAATACAAGCTTGTAGAAGTCAATCATACCAAAAAAATACCCCAAGTAAGATCCATTTGTGCTTTCTTACCAAGCTAACCAAGTCTACTACGCACCTTACCCAAGTCTGAAAAGATATAAAGCTCAATGGTTGGCAGTGTTCAAGACAAAGGCGAGGTCTGTTGTTGATGCACTAATTGACTAAGACTTTCTACAAGAAACCACTGCTGACATTCCAACTCTTTGTGCTCCGGATGACATTCTAGACTATGAAGGTGATGAAGATGGAGTTGGAGATTCGAATACTGATGATGAAGTGTTGCCCGATGCCCCTCCAGATGAGTCCAGTTTCGAATCTACTGATAGTGACGACGAGGATGAGGATGACGGATTTTGGGATGACGATACTGATGATGATCTTAATGCTGATGGGGAGGGTGATTCAACTGAGATTTAGGAGATTGATTGTAACCTTATTTTAAATTTTTAATTATGTAATCTAATGGATTTCAATTTATTTTAAAAGACCATCCTGGTTTTAATTTGTTATACTTGTGTATTATTGATATATTGTTATTGATATTTTGCAAAGCCAAGGTTATGTGTGATATTAGCTTATAGATCGCGATAACGTGACTATATGATTTTACTGATGTTCATTATGTTTTTTTTACTGTAGGTTGTTATGGTTGGTGGTGGTTGTAGGATGCTAGGACATGCCACCCCGAGAGAATTGTTTCCGTCGACAAGCCATGAAAATACGGAAACTTCTCCGGAAGTTACCCCACGCCCAAAGTCACATGTAGATGTGGGACATCTACTCAGGTTTCTGGGACGCAAGACGATAATACTCCCATGGGTGAGGTAGCTACCCCTGTCGCGAAAAGGACTTTTCACCCTATAGGGTTATGGTAAGTTAATCATGGTTAGCTTAATTTGCCTTCCAACTTGAACAATCACTACTACAAAAATGCCCAAAGAGACCCGAAATAAGAGACCCGTTAATCAAATAAACGGTCTCTGTGTTTCAAGAGACCCAACATTACAAACAACTAGTCTCATTTGTAGTATTCTGAAAAAAAAGAAAAAAAAACAAAGACCCTTTCTCAGAGATAACAGGTCTCTCTCAATTTTTTTATTTTTAAATTAAAAAGGGGAGACCTGTGTTTTTACATAACCGGTCTCTTTTTATTAAAATAAAAAAAATACTAGTATATGTTTTGGAGAGACTTGTGGTGAGCTTAACCGATCTCCCTTATTTCCATGAATAAAATATAACTAAACCCTAAAATCTTTCCCCCAAATTTTCCTTCTTCAATCCGCCTCCTTTTCCTCTCTCTCTCTCCTCCTCTTGCCTCAAACTCCTTATTCCTTCTTTTCGTCAACCATTTCATTCACATTTCAATTTCAATTCCTCCATTTCTTGTTTCAATTCATCTTTTCTTCATACTTTAAACCTAAATTTTTTATGTTTATCATTTTCTTCAACCTCGGTACTATTTAAATTCTTTCGCTTTCAGTTCGTCTTCATAGACAAACCAATGGAGCTTCAAAAGTACCTTTAATGGCGTTTGAGCTTCTCCTCTTTATTTTCTGAGTCGTCTTATAAAAAGAATGGACCGTCAAGGAAGATGATCTGCCATTTGGCGGTTTAATGAACAACTCGCTTCCAATTTCGATGATATATCATTGTTTACCACTAAGAACAGGTTTTTTTCAAAAAATAATCGCCTCATTCTATTAACTCAATTGTTTTTTCATACCCTTAAATTTAATTTATTTTTTGTTTTAGATGTCGCTGAAATGAAGTAAAAATTGTAGATTTATGGGTAAAGGGAGGGTTGATTCTCATTTTACAATATTATCAGACTATCTCAATGCTTTGATGGGTAAAGGGTTCATGTTATTGCTGTTAATGATTATTTAGTGTTGTGATTGTGAGTGGGTTGGTCAAGATGCTCGATTTCTTGGTCTCAAGGCTGGCCTTGTTAAGCATATTGTTTTTGTTTTCATTTTATGTTCTTCAAATATCGTTTTAATAATTTGATTAAGATCTATTCATCTAATTTCTTGTTTGCTTTTGGTTTTCAAGTCTTATAATTTTAAAATAATTATTTAGATCTAATTTTTATTTTCGGTTTTAGATTTTATAACCTCTGTTTTTTTATTTTTATTCTTCAATTTTTATTTTTGCGTTTTTATTTTGATTTTGAAAAAATAGTTTTCATTTTCATTTTCTATTCTGATGTTTGTTTTAGATCTTACCGGTTTAAATTTTTTTTTTGTTTATTTTTTACTATTTTATTTGATTGTAAATTTTTGATATAATTTGTGATTTTACAAAATGGGTAATTTTTGAATTTTTATTTTGGTCATTTTTTCTTTTCCTGTTTTTGCTTTTTAATTTCACTATTTATCTGTACATTGTTAGTATTATGAATTCAATTTTATCTAACTTCGTGTAGATTCTATTTAGTGCAAATCTTTAATTTTTGTTGCTTGTGTTTAGTGGAAATCTAACCTTATTATTGTTTGTTCTTATCATAGGTTATCTATGAGCTAATGTTTAACTATGATATGATATAGAAGGCGAGGATGGTAACAGATGATGATGAAAATAATCACTTCAATGAAACAAGTGGATGATTGTTCATTTTTCGTGTTAATTTTCTTTTTATGTGATTACAGATTAATAGATTATAGTACCTAGATAAATTATCTAATACATACTCTAAATTATGAAGTACTCCATATCTAATATGTAAATAGTTCGTATGTATTATGTACTACATATTAATAGATGTACCTTAGAATGTATTTTTTTTTCTCGAGCAAAATATGAAATTGTATATTTGTTTTCGTAATTTTTTTTTAAATGTAATGTAGCAAGAGACCGCCTATATAACATAACTGGTCTCTCTTGAACTCATAAAATAAGAGACTGCTTTTGTAAGTTCACGGGTCTCAATTTTTAAAACAAGAGACCGTTGTTCTGACAAAAAGGGTCTTTTATGCTTCTACAATTTTAATATTTCAACCACCCAAAGAGACTGCTTTTCTAAGATAACAGGTTTCAAGTTTTGAAACTTTAGATCGCCTCTAAAGAAGTAGTCTCTTGGCCAAAGAGACCACTTTGCTAAAGACCGCCTCTAAGGCAGTGTCTTTGGCTAATTTGGATGGGTCTCTTTGGCCAATTTTGTAGTAGTGAATCTTGGTTAGATTTGTATTTTATGTATGTAATGACTTCATTTGTTTGCTTCTTGGTACTAAGGTTCGATGATAACACCGTGAGCATCTCCATTACAAGATTTTTTCAAGCACATTGGCGCAAACCATGGCTTAACTATGTAGAGGTTGACAAGGGTACTAAGACCCATTTGTGGAACCAGTTTATGGTATTATATAACCCCCAAGTTTAATTTACTTATCAACCTTTGGTGTTTGCTGGTTACTTATTACAATAAATTATTAAACATACTTCCTCTGTTCTTTTTTTATTGCACCATGAGGGATTTCACACTTTCCAATGCATTAATTTAGCTATTAATATCTTCAATTTTACTTTTGTGAAAATTATAAAAAATTTGATATTTGAAAAGTAAATTTCGAGACGAATCTAACTAGATCTCACATGACTATGTTTTTCCTAATGGATAAATCACAAATGATGGTCAAAGAAGATTAAGTGAATAGTGTAAAAGTCCTTATGGTGCAATAAAAGAAAAATGGAGGAAGTATAATTTTTGTTGTTTCTTAAAAAAATTTGCAGAAACAATACCTTTGGAATGTTGATCTTGATACCCTTGTGAAGGAGTATGAAAAGAAGGCACATAAGAGGTTGAAAGAGATTACATGCAATGCTTCTGCCAAAAACAAGTCAATTCCTAAATGGATAGGACAATGTATGTTTCAGCAAATGATGGCGAAAAGAAACAAGAAGGAATTTATGAAGAGGTAAAAAAGCTAAGAAGAACAGGAGGGGCGGCTCCCTGTCTAATCCAATTGAGCCGTCACACTTCCAAGGTTCTATCTCTGCATCAAAGCATGCAAAGAAAATGGTAATACTTAATTGTATATAATGATAAATTTTAGTAGTTACATACACTAAGCATTTAAGGAGTTATTTGATTTGTGCAGGCTTAGAAAGCCAGTGGAGTGCTTCTAACTGCCCCTGAGGTCTTCTTAAAGACCCATTTCAAAGAAGTTCTTGGAAAAGGAAAAGTTGCAGCTAACAAGAGGGCACAACTAATCTCGGGAACACATCTAACTTTGGAAACTAATGAAATAATTTTTTAAGGAAGAAAGCAAAACATAGGCACTTATACTTGTGATTTGGAACTAAAGGCACCTAATACTGTTCAATATTGTTATGTTAAGCTCAATTTTAGTTTATAAACAGAACAAAGAAAATGGAAAATATAGAACCTAATTTATGTCATTTAGCTTACTTATGACCTTTTAGCCTTGTATATGCATGAAAATGTCTATTATTAAGGAATTTCAACCTATAAACATATTTAATATGCTAAATACGGGTTGTTTGATCGATAAAATCTTAGTTTATAGCAAAAACAAACAAAATGGGTAAGTTAGAAGGTCATTTAAACCATTTTAGCCTAGTTATAACCCTATAGCCTTGTATATGCATGAAAATGTCTATTATTAAACCATTTACACCTATAAACATGTTTAATATGCTAAATATGAGTTGTTTGATTGATAAAATCTTAGAATATATCAAAAACAAAGAAAAATGGGTAAGTTAGAAGGTCATTTAAGCCATTTTAGCCTAGTTATGACCCTATAGCCTTGTATTTGCATGAAAATGTCTATATTTAAGCAATTTGAACCTATAAACATGTTTAATATGCTAAATATGAGTTGTTTGATTGATAAAATCTTAGAATGTAGCAAAAACAAAGGAAATGGATAAGTTAGAAGGCCATTTAAGCCATTTTAGCCTAGTTATGACCCTATAGCCTTGTATATTCATGAGAATGTCTATTATTAAGCCATTTGAAGCTATAAACATGTTTAATATGGGGAATCTGAGTTTTTTGATTGATATAATCTTAGAAAATAGCAAAAACAAAGGAATTGAATAAGTTAGAAGGCCATTTAAGCCGTTTTAGCCTAGTTATGACCCTATAGCCTTGTATATGCATGAAAATGTCTATACTTAAGCAATTTGAACCTATAAACGTGTTTCATATATGCTCCATATGATTTTTCATGATTACAGGATGCCTACCTGTAAGGAATAGTTTCAAGCGTTAATCCCCTAGCTTGAACCCCACTGTGATCATACACTAAAGTACGGTGGCGTCCAAAAGGGAAGAAGATAGAGTAAAAGAGTCGCCAACAAGTTTTAGGAATTTGTAAACCGTTCACAGGGTGAAGGTTACATCTCTAAACGATCCAAGAGATCGTCAACTCCATAAGGTCTTGAACCAAATAAGGGTTCGGGGATGAAGGTACAAATCCAACCTAAAAGAGATTGAACCTGCCCTAATAATAGGCCTCTACTTTATTCTGATCGTATTCATGTGCGCTTTCTGACTAACATGCTATAAATAGGTTTAACCCTAAACCTGTTTAATCTATGTTGGTTGAATATTAATAAACAAATAAAACTATTATTGGCGATCACTTGAATTATAATCAAATTAACCCTAAATAAGATTATTAATTATCTTATTAAGCGTTATTACAAGTACAAATTCCCTTTAAACATGCATAAAAGGCGTGATCAAGCAATAACAATAAATATCATCAAGCAACATAATAATAAAATAATAATAAATCATGATCATAAAAATAAATTATAATTAAAATAATCATAATAAAAATAATAATCAAAACAATAATTATCATAATAACAATTATAATAATCATAATAATCATGTTAAAGCATAATAATAGCAAGATTCTAGGCATGATACTAACAAGATTAATAACAAACCCTAGCATGTCACTAAGCAATAAAAATCAAATCTTTAACCCTAACATGATACTAACATGAATAAATATTAGGAAGAAAATAGGAAGCATCGTAACAATCATGATTAATATTAAAGTTACCCTAGACATGATACTAGGAATATCATAATAACAATATAAACATGATCATAACATCAATAAATCAATTAAAGCACTTACTTTGATGCCTCGTACCTCTTTCTAATAACAAAATACACACGTTAGTAACTTCAAGGAAAATAATAATCAAACAATTAAATTAAATAATTGAAAGAGAGATTTGGGACCAAACCCTCAGAAATCAAACCTTTCACGTCTAGGGCGTAGGCAACTTCGAATATGGCTAGGTGTTTCTAGATCTTGCGAATGCGAAATTTTGTATATAAAAGACTAGTTTAGAAAAGAAAGAAAGAGTTGATGAATGATTAAGGAAAACTTGATGAGAATTGGGGAATGAAAGAATAAGAATTGAAGAGAATGAGAGAGAATTGAAAACTGATTGTAGGTGAATGAAAACGGAGTTTTTACGACATTATTTATAGAGAAAATCAGCCAAAAAGATAAAATTAACAAAACAGAGTCTGGCGCACGCAAAACGAGATTGGCGCCAGCCATTGGCCATTGGCGCCAGGTGTTAGGCGCCAATCTTGTTTTTGACGCGTTTTCTAAAATCTGATAAATTTTGACGTACAGGAGGATAAAATCGTATCTTTTCCTCAAAAATGCTCTTTGATTTTAATTAAAACTCTGAAAAGTCAACAAAAGTCAATTTATCAATGCTAATTGAATTAGGAATGAAAAGAACCTACTAGAAGAATCTAGAAGACTAAAACCATTCCTAATTGTATTAGGAATGATAAATCATATTAGGCCCTCCTCTAGATCATTGGGCCGTACATAAGACTCAAAACGGGCCCAATTTAGTAAGTTGGCCATAACTTCCTCAATATTCATCGGAATTGGGCTTATAATATATCGTTGGAAAGCTCTTTTCAAGCCCCATCCAACTACATTACTATTGGACCCATATAATGGACCTACCAAATTGGATTGGCTGTTTTCTTAAAATAAGTTTTCAAAAAACAAAGAGAAGAGAAAAGAAATTTGTAGGGAATAGTTTCAAGCCTTTAAAAATCCCACTAGCTTGAATCCCACTGTGATCATACACTAAAGTACGGTGGCGTCCAAAAGGGAAGAAGATAGAGAAAAAGAGTCGCCAAACAGTTTTTAAGGAACTTGTAAACCGTTCACGAGGTGAAGGTTATACCCCTTAACGATCCAAGAGATCGTCAACTCCATAAGGTCATGAACCAAATAAGGGTTCGGGGATGATGGTACAAATCCAACCTAAAAGAGATTGAACCTGCCCTAATAATAGGCCTCTACTTTATTCTGATCATATTCATGTGCGCTTTCTGACTAACATACAATCAATAGGATTAACCCTAAACATGTTTAATCTATGTTGGTTGAATATTAATGCACAAATAAACTATTATTGGCGATCACTTGAATTTATAATTACAATTAACCCTAAACAAGATTATTAATTATCTTATTAAGCGTGTTTGCAAATACCAATTCCCTTTAAACATGCAATAAAAAGGTGATCAAGCAATAACAAATAAAATATCAAGCAACGTAATAAATAAGAATAATCAATCATAATCATAATAATCATAAATATTAGGGAGAATATAGGAAGCATCATACATTTAATCATACTTAATATTAAAGATACCCTAGACATGATACTAGGAATCAAAATAACAATCTAAGCATGATATCTACATCATAATATCAATTAATCTTTAAAGTACTTACTTGGATGCCTCGTA